AGTCTCCTCTTTCTCAGCAGGCGAATCAGTTCCAGTAGCAAGAGGAGTAGGCCTTGGCGCCACTTAGCAATAGATTACAGCTTATCGCTCTTTATAAAGAAAGCCTCTCCAAAGGTGAACCGGACTTAGCCGCAACAGACGTCTTGGTTTAGACTTTGACACTGAGGGCACAACGAAACTTCTACGTTAAGCAATCTTATCAGCAATCATACTAGCTATCTTTCGCATAGCAGGCGTCATAGGCTCAGATCTAGCAGCCTCATCTTTCCTTCCCCTAGAAGAAGTCATGTCAATCACAAGCCTCTCGGTAACAGGCAGACCCTCACGAGAAACGGAGGAAGCCTTTGGCTTTTTCTCAACCGGCATCTTTTGACCAGGTAGGGAAGATCTATTTTTTCCACCTTCATTCATAGCAAGCTCCACGACAGCGATCAGACTAGCAAATACATCCACATTGATCCGCTTTATCTTCTCTCTTGGGGACATCCCACCTTTTTCTCGTTGAAAAGAACTAAGCATGCCATTCATGGTACTCATCAGGGATACCTAAAGCAACGTGCACCTTCTTTATATTTGGAGAAGTCTTGGGGCTTGAGCCAAATTTCGAATCTACATAAACAGAAGAGGATAGTCAACAAATCAGAAAGAAGCTTAGAAAAAACACAAGGCAGCCTAGAGACTAAGTAGTCTACTTACTAGTGATGAAAATCGTTGGAACACGCAACTCATGGGAATAATCAGACTCATACCCTCTACTTATCTCTAAAGTTTCCTTAGCCCAGTCATGATTTTCCTTCCTCGAATGATCGAAGAACTTATGGCGGGATCGCAACTGCCCAACTCCATCAATATGGCATATGTCAAAGAAGTACAAGAATACGTTAACGGTCAGATCCAAGTCAAAGAATTGGCTTAGATTAAGGAATCTCACCATCACAAGGATCGCATTTGGAGAACATTGAGCAGAGGCACACTTTATGGAGCAAAGCACTTCTTGGAAAAAATGCGGCAAAGGAAAAGTAAATCCCAACACGAAGTAATAGGGGTGAAACTTAATAGCTATTTGAGCCCCACTATATGACTCATGACTTCTACCCTTCTTGACACATTTCACACGCATCCCAGACGGAATGAAGTGCCTATAGCTTCAAGAAAATTTCTGAATGAGTCATCGGAATTAATTTTGAAGTGAGCAGCCTTGAAGTAGCCCACTTTACTCAAAGACTTACCTTGACGATACAATTGCAGCACACCATCATCACTCTTGTGGCTTGAAGAAGAAATGCTCGAAAAAATTGTACAAAGATGCAAGGAAAAACTGTTAGACGGCTACAAAAAAAAAATAAAAAAAAAAAAAAAAAAAAAAAAAGGTGCATCAGGCCCAATAGGCCCCTAGGGCCCAGTCCAATTGGAGGGGGGCTGGCGCCCCTATACCTCATTTTCTCTCATCTCACACGGGCCAAGTTTAGCAGGCCACAAACCAAGCCAAGGAATGAGGCCCGAGCCTCCTTTCCTCTCTCCAACAGGGCCTAAGCACAGCGGCCCAGACCTAAGCACCCCAGTGCCCTGGCCCATGCCAGCCACGCGCCAAGCCCTAGGCTCACATTGCCAACCCTCGGCCCAAGCCATGTCGTGGCTCCCCAACCATGTTTTGACACATCCTCGACCCCCATCGAGCTAAATTTCAAGCTCCAAGGCTCCTAAAAAAATAAAAAAGACAAGGAAAATTAATTTTTTCTTACCTTAGTGTGGCATGAAAATGAAGAAAGCAACGAAAGACAGTCCTTCGCATGGGAGGAGGAACAAATATCCTCTAGCTTTCTCTCTCTTGTAGGGTAGAATAAAGTGCTCTCTGAAGTTGATTTAATCATCTAGACTTAAATAGACTTTGGAAGTGATTTATTTCCCTTTCCTAGAAGGATCTAATTTCCAAGTAAGTGGGAATCTACATCAAAATAAGAAACAATCTTATGTTTCCTAAAGCAAGGGAAGATCTCTACACCTTCTGTTTTTTCCTACGAGCAGCCCAATAGGTGTGGGGGCATTTGTGGAGCAAAAAATAATCAAGAAAATTATGGAGCTGACACATAAACTTTTGGGTTAAAATGATAAAATTACCTTCGAGGCACACATGGACTTTTGACTAGCTCATTTGACTAGTCTACTGTGCAAAATTAATTTTTATTTGCAGGATATTCCGCCTTGTACCCAATTTTAGATACCATTAAGAAAGTTGGGGTTCAACCACAAAATCAATTGGCAATATGGGAAGTAGCTCAAGCCTCAACCTCTTATAAGCACATGCAATGTCTATCTTCTCACGTATGTCAGATTCATTCTCAACACTATTAGCTAGTCGTGGGTCAGGATTGCATCTTTTACGCTTTGAGGATGGGTGCATCATTGTTTGAATTTTTAAAACCATACAAACCCTCATGAACAGTATTTTTAAGGAGTTCAAAATAAATAAATTCATAATCATTAATGTACAAGTCTGAGAAATGTGAAAGCATATATAAACGCTTATGATTAAATCTTCTATGCTTAGATGATGGTTATATGGTCGTTTAGATTTTTAAAACCCTCCAAATCTCATGAATAGTGTTTCTTTTATTTGAGTGCAAAATTAATAAAATTAATAATAATTATTGTAGGAGTGTGAAAAATCTAAAAAAAATAAAATAAAATACAATCACTCGTAATGACAAGCTTTACAACTTTTGTAAAGTGGTCACTCCAAAATCCGACACCATAATCCATAAACCTTAGGTTTAAATTTAACCGTCAATTGCATTTACGCTATATTCTATTCACCAAATTTCATTTTTTAGATTTTCATTATATATTGATATAAAATATATTTTCTTTAATGGGTAACGGATCAGGTCATATTACTTGATAATATTAACGAGTCGAGTCATATTACCCGTTTAATTTAACAGGTGTTACACAACACGATCTGTTAAGATATCGAGTATGTCACGAAAACTACACGGACACGAAAAATGCGACACGAATACCACCCAATGATTTCAAAAATATAATTCTACAAGGAGAAACGGCTTGAAATTTATATTCAATGAAATAAATCTTTCAAAGTAGTAACAACATGACATTTATCACATGGTCCAAATTTGTATTTTGAAATACCAATAAAAAATTCCAACAATCCCCCACATATTTCAAAATGAAAATTGAATCACCAATAGGGAATTTGTGAAACACAAGTTTAATGGGGACAAGGAAGTACCAAAGGAAAATGAGAATACAACTCATCATAACTGGTCTCCTTTGGACTATAAACTAGCCTTAGGATAAGTTAGCTTTAACTCACAGACATTTGGTGAAAATGAAATTTTCTATGAACCAAGATTTCTTTATGTGAATCATAGGACTAACCACCCACATTGAATTCTCGAAATTGAGCTTGTTTAAGCGCGTTGGTGCGAAGAGGTTATGTGCCCACCTGGATGTTCATGAGTGCTTTAGAGAACTTGCCTAAACTTTCATAGGAAGCAGCCCCACTTCCACACTCATATAGGTGAATCCATCAAGTGTGCATTGCAGTCAAACACACCACCAAATGTCGGGCTATGGAATTCAGTAGAACATAAGTTTAACCTTGCACACTACAGTAATTGCACTATCTACACCATAGGGATAGACTCTAAATAATAAAAAATATGATAGTGCATGCTTGAACAGCAAGTGACTTGTTCTTATGAATATGAACCTACTACCTAGGATCTCCATTCACATAAGTTGGGTTACCATCACTCTTGATCGTTGTAGTAAGCATAAATCTCATCCCCCTCGATGTAATAATCATCACTAGCATTTACTTTAGTGAATTTGTCAGAGGATTAGTTAGATCCAATTCTAACCTCAAAATATTATATTATGTATATATGTAAGATAAATTTATATTTAGCTCAAACTCTCATAGCTGGGCTATCATCATATATAATCACAAATAAACTGGTCTCTTCCACAATAGTGGGGTAACTCAAGAATAGATATAGTAAGAACTAGTCTCTTCCATACAGGATTTTAAAACATTTGTCGTCCAATGTTAGTCCTCTTTAAGACTACCAATTGGTATTTCATAGTGGACCTATATCTAATTAGGTTAGCTCTAGACATTGCATCTCAACATATTAAGGTAAGTGTCACAGTAGAAATAATGTTATTATCATACGTGAAAAGTAGAACTTACCATAAATTATCCATTAATAAAGAGTGCCTCTCATATATTTGTACGCGAAATATATGACTCTCTAAGACTTTTGAATGTACTCCAAATAAGTGCTTCATCATGTATGAATTCACAACTACATATTGTAGTTGTCTTTGTATCTTCTTAGCAATAAGCCCACATTTCTATTAGACTTGGTAATTTCTTAGACAACCCATTAACACGACACGTAAACGATACGAAAATAACAAATTTCGAATCAACACAATAACTAATTGGATCGTTATCGGGTCACACAATAAGAACCCGTTAATAACGGGTCCTTAACAATTTTACGTGAGGTTAACACACGTGTAACCCATTTCGACATATTAGGATAAAAGTTGTTTTGATGATTTTATTTTTTTTAAACTTCTAAAAAGACTTACTATAAGATACAATAGCCATATGTATATGTATTATTGTATTGTTATTCTATATAAATTTAAAAAATTTAAGTTTTATTTATTTATTTTTATAGTATACTATAGGCAAAAAGTGAGATTAAAAAAAATTATAAAACACAATAAAAATAAAAATATCCAGTAATTTAAAAATATCAAATTTATTTTCCTTTTTACTAGATAAAATAATAAATAAATTTTATGCTTGCATTTTGGCGGCAACTTTGCTTTATTTTATTTTATTTTTTTAGCTATAGAATTGAGTAGAAATTTGTAGAAATTACCTGCGTCAGTATTAAGCAAAAGCTGACTGTGGTCCACCGTTTAAACCCCAAACCCCCCACCTATATCAACCTCGCGGAGTGAAACGCAAACCCTCCAATTCTCGACCGATCCATAAGATCTCTCTCTTGTCGCACGGCATGGCTGAGAGCGACGCCTCCGCCACAGCAACCGCAGAACCGTTGGCGCCGTCAGAAAAGTCGTCTTCCGAGGCGTCTACCACCGCTCCTCCGCCGGCGGAGAAGCGTGAAACAAAACGGTGGGCCGACGAAGAGGACGACCCTCCGGAGGAGCCCGAGAAGAACGACGACGCGCCTGCGCCCTCTACTTCCAAGCCGGAGGTCAACCTGGCCGAATTGAAGATTACCGAGAACAAGTTCCTCGACGATCCCGAAGACTCTAATATCAGTGCCGTACGATCCCTCTCTCTCTCTCTCTCTCTCTCTCTCTCTCTGAAATCTTCAATTCTTAGTTTCAATTAGGGTTTTGTAGCAAATTCAACAGGGCTAAGATTGTTTGTTGATTTTATTCACAAATTTTGTGGAATGAATTGTTTTTACTTATTCGTAAATTTTGGGGACTGAATTTGATTTAGGTTACTTACGGAGACACGCCGTACACATCCGCGAGTAGTTTCGAGGATCTGAAACTGTCGCCGGAGGTACTGAAGGGTTTGTATGTAGAGATGCAATTCAAGAAGCCGAGCAAAATCCAGGCGATCACTTTGCCAATGATTTTGACCCCTCCCTATAAAGATCTTATTGCTCAGGCGCATAATGGTTCGGGCAAAACCACTTGTTTCGTGCTCGGGATGCTCAGTCGCGTCGATCCCAATCTCAAAGCTCCTCAGGCGCTCTGCATTTGCCCCACCAGAGAGTTGGCCATTCAGGTTAAGTTTTGTTCTTTGCTTGGATTCTTGCTCCAATTTGTTCTTTTGTTTAGTCTCAAATTGAAAATATGAAAGTTTATTTTGAAGAAAGAAGTGAATATGGCGTTTTGTGAGTGCGTGCGTGTGGAAATTGAATAAAAGTAAGCTTTTTAGAGCAGCAGATTTGATGTTGTTTAGTGAATGTGGTAGAATATCGAAGTTCTTCAGAAGATGGGGAAGTACACAGGGATAACTGCAGAGTGTGCTGTCCCTACAGATAGGACGAGTTCTACCTCGACGCAATCCAGGCCACCAGTTTCGGCACAAATTGTGATTGGAACTCCTGGTACAATTAAGAGATTAATGTCGACAAAAAAACTCGGTGTGAGCAAGGTCAAGGTTCTTGTTTTCGATGAGGCTGATCACATGCTTGCTGAGGTAATCAAATTCTTGTGCTTGCATATTTGTTGAACTTTAAAAGTTCTCACCTTGTCTTCTTTGTTGTTGTTCTTCATGTATGGATTGTATGTTTTTCTAAGTGTAGTGCTTATGATGAAACAATGTAAACTCAATGTAGCCTCAGGACATCATAGATCAAGGGTCATTTTTTTTATTGGGCTGATGTGATATGAACAAATTCTGGGTTTTTTTAGTGTCTAAATTGGTTGATGTGATCAAAGGTTGTTCTTTGAGCATCCTCATTCCTCACTGTGGTTTTTTCGAGTGTTAATTGCTGTTGCAGAATCTAGTGCATTATTGGTACTAAGTGGAAAAGTGTTTTTGTGCAGGATGGCTTTAAGGATGATTCTTTGAGGATAATGAAGGACATAGAGAGATTTAGCTCTCACTGCCAGGTTAGTTTTATCAGGTTATGATTGAATTTTATTGCACTAAAATTTCGCCTATGTTTGGTCATTGTTTCTGTACATTTGAGGTTCAGTGAAACAAGTTTTGGAATTAGTTCTCTTTTAATTCGACTACCAGCAGTGGGGGTTGACCATAAATAATGGTTCAGCGCAAATGCTTAAAACATATCCCATGTTATTTGTGTCAGTAGACTCAGTACTGTTTTCTCAAAGACTGTCTAGGACTCTAGGACTGTTAATGCTGTGGTTGGATCTCTTTAGTATTGATGATAAACGTTGTTGGTTATGGAAATGAAAGAGTGGTTATACAGGCTGAATCTACCACTATTTGAACGATGAATGTTTGATGATTAAATTATTGGTTTATGTTTGGTGATTAAATTATTGGTTTATGTATGCACTCTGCAGAATATTTCCTTAAATTATAAATATTTGTATGGAGTGGGGATTGACTGCCTTCTTATGTTACATTTACTTCAGGTGCTTTTATTTTCTGCTACATTTAATGAAAAAGTCACAAATTTTGTTTCAAAAGTGATCAAGGGCGGTGGTAATCAACTCTTTGTAAAGAAAGAAGAGCTATCTTTGGAGGCTGTGAAGCAGTACAAGGTGTACTGCCCTGATGAATTGGCAAAGATTGACGTCATTAAAAGTAAAATATTTGAACTGGGAGAGAAATTGGGGCAGAGAATTATATTTGTACGAACAAAAAATAGCGCAAGAATGTTGCACCAGCAACTTGTTCAAGATGGTTATGCAGTTACTACCATTCAAGGTGCCCTCAATGCTGAAGATAGAGACAAAATAGTCAAAGAGTTCAAAGATGGTTTAACCCAAGTTCTTATATCAACTGACCTACTTGCTCGAGGCTTTGATCAACAGCAGGTGCCTTTCACTTTCCCTCTATTCTTAACCACAACCCCCACCCCCCTCAAAATGTCTTACAAGAGCTACATGGTGACTTGATACATTTTTTTGTAGGTTAATTGTGTTGTCAATTATGATCTTCCAATCAAATATAGAGAGGGCCCCAGGACACGTGATCCTCCCGAACCTGATTATGAGGTCTACTTGCATAGAATTGGAAGGGCAGGACGTTTTGGTCGCAAGGGTAAGTTCTCATTCTGAAATTTGTATTTTGGTGTATTTTTTCCCCATACATTTTGCGGCTCTTTCCATGTACTAATGTAGTTGTCAGCTTTTAAATCTGCTACTTTATTAACAAAATGTGTACCTTTTATTTTTAACTGAGGGAACAATCGTGTAGGTTTAACTAGCAAACACTTGTTCTCAAGTGTATTTTCCCTTGAAATGTGCCGGGATTGTGTATGCTGTACATCCTCACATATAAGCATATTCGTGATGGCAATTTTTTGGCTTGGTTTGATTTATGTGCTAGTTGGGCCAGGTTTGACTGTTTAGAGTTATGATACCGGTACAGATAGGTATTTTCAATCCTAGCTTAATATTACATTACTATATTGGTTTTAAAAAGCCTTATGCAACACTTATTCTAAACACCGTAGTGGGCCCCAGAGTCTCTTTAGAAGACCATAGCTATTAGGTGCTCCCCATTGTATTGGATCTCCACGTATCATTTGAGCTGTATACAGATATTACCGTGCTACGTCTGTTTGCAGTTAATAAACATATGAAAACGTTGACTGAGCGTGTGCATATGTTCTTGTGCAGGGGCTGTGTTTAACTTGATTTGCGGTGATTGGGATGAATTGGCCATGTCAAAGATTGAGCAGTATTTTAACAACCCAGTAACAGAGGTAATAATCTTGCACCTCATCCTACTTTAGCTTTTGATTCGAAGATGCGAGCATCTCATCCTACTTGAAAAGCTCATGGAAATCGAGTCCTGGCGCTCGATGAAAGTTCAAATCTTTCTGGTCTGTTCTTTTGTACAGAACTTTGACGTTATGGTCTCACTATCTTATTGGAGATAAACTATTAGATCAATGTGATAATTTTGGCATTACCTTATTGACTCTCTTTTCCCTTCAATTACAGGTTCAAAACACCGAAGAAGCTTTTGAAGGTGCTCTTAAAGCAGCCGGTTTACTGTAACGTAATGGTCTATGCAGCATTAGAACAGCCAGTTTTGCGAAAAGGAAAGAGGCGAAAGCGTTGTATGCCCAGCCCAGCGGAGGGCATACCTTACTAAGAATATGGTTATTTATTTGTTTCTCTTTATGGACCGGCGGAGATGCTTGATGGGTTCGTTTTCTAGTGTCTGTAAATGTCACTATTATTTCATGACAAATATTCACTCATTCTAGTTAGTTTGTGCCATGTTTGTATGAAAGGTTAAATCATTTAGCGATTTTGGTAGTTGATCCATTTTGTTGGCTAGCTTTCGAGTGGATTTTCGTTGTCGATAAACAGCTGAAGTTATGGATTGAATTCTACATATCGATGAAAGCTCGTGTGTTATAAAACCATGTCATCTAGATTAGGCGATGGAAACCTCAAAAGTGCTAAATCTCCAATATGTCACGGATTTAACAACAATTTAAAATCCCCAAAATTTTAAGCAACGTGCTTCAGAAATGAACAAGACTACTGCCTTGTGCTTAATTTCTAGCCCTAAATACCACCAACCCAAAACTACAACCATTTGATTTTTCAGTCGCATCAATTCGAGCATGAAACAGAGACAATGGCTCATATAGTTTTTACTAGAGATTCAGAGAAGGCAAAATAGAACAATGGGAGGGTGGTTGCCAGTCTGATTGCGATTGTCTGCGATTCCCGTTGCATTGCATGCAATTCCAGTGCGATACTCGGCAATATATTCCAATGGTGTGTAAGCTTGCCTACAAGCCAATTTTAGCTCAGATTTCTTAGTTATAGGCTGTGGCAGACTCAGGAGTTTAAAATGATGGGTTCAAAAAATAACTTTTGAAAATCAATCCTACTTACATTTTTATGTTTGTCCACGACCTGTTCTCATATTTTATAAACTTCGTATCATAATATTATCAATACATATTTCCCAATGTATATAATTAAGCTATCATTCAACCACTGATCTCCATCTTATAACAATATTGACTCGTCACAATATATGTTCGGAACTTATATCTATCTCCCTATGCTTATGAACCAGAAGGTCGGGAGTGAAAGCCTTTAGTCGGCCTATGCGGATTACTCTTTTTTCCAAGAACAAGAAGAACTAGCTCTCAACAGCAGCCGGGTTCTACCATCAAAACGTGCTCCGATCGCGCCTAGCCAGAAACGCCAAAAAAGCTCTTTCATCAGAAACAATTAACATGTAAAATCAATGTTAATTTGACGAGCAACTACACCAAAGGATTTTGTCTATCCCTTTGTCTCCACCAACTTTTGTACACGACAAATAATTCCTTTCAATCTAGAAAATTGATTATGCCAGTGGCAGAAATATAATTCGTTATACTCTTGCAAATGACGTATAGGCAAATTGATGGCTTCGAGATTGAAACGATTCCCTATGTAAATAAGCTATTTCAGACTTGATCTCTTGTAATTAGATCATATTTTAATGTCTGAAATGGAGGAGTATTTTCCATTGTTTTTCTCTTAAATTACCTCCCCATAACTGTTTTAAAAAATACAAGGGAAAAATAGTCAACATAATACAAGTTTTATCAAATTAACCATGACTCAACCAAAACTAAAAGGAATTAAAAAAGAACCTAATTCGGCACTACAGTCTTCATTTCATTATCATAATATAAAGCCAAAAATTCGAACCATCTAAATCGAATGATTAATGATTAGAAATTAACCATATAAAGCCAATTCCTAATTACGACATATAAATTCAATTCAAATGTTCCAGTGAAGAGTCAAACTAAATTAACTGATGAAATTGAATGAAACCCTAAAAATCCAAATAAATCTAAGATGAGAAAAAAAACCCGATGATTGGGAATTCGGGATTCCCTAATAGTACATGTCACCACCTGTCTCTGAACTTTGAAGGTGGAAAATGGCCAAACTGCTCCTAGAGGAGAAAATATTGACTTTTGTTGACAATTGAGCTCGTGACACGTATGATCTATTCTCTTAGCACACTCTCATAGTGCTCGTTGATACTAACGCGAGAACATAAGCAGAGCGAAAATTGAAGTTAGAATGAAGATTGTACGAAAAACGAATGTTAAGAGTATTTTAGTAATTTTAAAAGTAAAGTAAAGAGCAAGAATAATAATGAGTGTTACTAAACCCACCCCAGTGTCTTAATTTCTCACCCACATGATAATCCCACCCACCATAGAAAATTAAAAAAGTAAAATGTTATTTCCCCACCCACCATTATTCCCAAAATAACCATAATATATATTTTTTAAATAACTCTAATATATCTTTAAACAATATTATAAATAAAGAAACAAAAATAGAAAAAAAAAAAAAAAAAAAAAGAACCAAAGACCTAGACATTCATCATCTCCTTCACACCTAACGCTGCCCTGCAGAGACCTCAGATCCCCAAACCACTCTTCTTCCTCCTTTTTTGACAAAACCGCAGATCTCACACCCAATTCTCTTTTTTTCTCCATTGAAGTTTCTCGCCTTCATCTGGCACACATCCATTCCTTCCTCCAACCTTTCCGTCGATTCTAACCCAAATATTTCCCAACCTCTTTCCACCAAAGATATCACACCCCACCCACCATTATTTATTTATTATTTTAAATTATTTTTTGTTTTTTCAAAATTTTAGTACTGAATTAAATAGGGATTTAATAATCTTCTTTTAAAATGATAAATATGTTATTAACATTTTTATTAAATGGTGGGTGGGGAAATAAGACACCGGGTGGTAATATCACCACTCATAATAATAAGGCCAGATTTTTTTTATTTTTTTTTTTTAGTGGTCTCTGTGATGAGACTCTAATTTTGATCCAACCTCTATGGTGAAAAAGTAGTTAATCATAATCTTGTGGTCAAGTTGATTAGCAATGTGGATCCAATTAGCAATTTTCATGTCTATTACATCCCCGTTAAGATGCAAGGACAAAAATGTCCTTCAATCCAATTGGTTGTCTCAACCAATTATATATTGCCACATGGATAAGTAAATTTCATTTAATTTATTTTTTAGAACTGAAGGAAAATAATATCCACAATTCCTTGTTAGTGTAGGATAATTAATATGCGCTAGGTGTTGTAAATTCTTGTAGGCCTATGTTTACTTGCACTTCAAGTCATTTGACTTGTATATGTTTGTAACGTTGTGAATCAATGAAATCAAGGAGTTATATTTCCTTGTCCCGTCAACTGGTTCTCCAGGAAGGAATAATAATGACAGTCATGGAAGGTGTTCTTCGAAATCAACCTACCTTGACGCAACAACCACTGCAACCCATAGCGATGTAGACAGCGTGTGTTGCCATGCACGAATTCATTGCCAGAGACGGGGAAGACAATGCCAAGAGAGAGCTATTGATCATTTGTTGTTGAAGAGGGGGATGTTAGCGGGGTTAGACTGAGAAGGAGGTGGTGCGTGCCTGGGGAAATAGAGATGGAGAGGGTGCCGATGGGAGTCATGGATCCGTGGGAGTGGTGGTGGGCAATCGGAGCGGCGGTGGCAAAAGAATTAGCCTCCCTGCAATGGGGAATCCATATTAACATCTTAATGCAAGTACAATTCGTAGTATCACCAAAACAGCTAGAGAAGCGCAAATACGTGAGCAGCATTGCTTCAGATTCTTTATATGACAACTGACTGCGTCAACCCTAATTTCCTCCTCGTCAGTTGTTGGGATTCATGCTATGTTGATTAGGTTCAAGTTTGTGTATGTTCGTAGCTTTTCATGATCATATATCACTGAATTCTGTATTTAAGAGAATGTATAAATTCAAAAACTGTAATTTGAATTTATTTAGAAATCATATTCAGATCCTTTTATTTTGTTTTATTTTATAACTAAGCTGATTTTTCTTGAATAATTATAAAGATTGTTCAACTTGTTGGGTGCTGACCTTGATTAATTAATAATTCATTTATACATTAAAAAACTAGAACATATACATAATTTGACATCTACATTTTCAAATGGAATGCACGTATAAGTAGTGCTCTTCCACCCATTTGTTTTCCTACACACACACACACACACACATATATATATATATAGCCTCCTGCTTAATCTAGAGAGAGAGTTCAGCAGAAAGATGAGAGCCGCGGTGGTGCTGATATTTGCAATGGTACTGATTGCAATGGGTTGCAGCAGTATCCACACAGCTGAAGCTTCTAATTACGAAGAACCCAAAATCAAAACCATGCATGTAGGTGGCAAGGTACTATGCCAAGATTGCACCCAAGGTTGGAACGAATGGGTTCACGGTGCCAGACCCATCAAAGGTATATATTTTTTTAATTATATACGTGTCATCATTTCACTGTAAACATGCCATATCAGAAACATTTCTTTTTTAATTATATATCATCACCTAAAGGTTAGCCTTAGAAAATTCGTTCGAATTTCATACCATTTAGTTATCCATTTGAATCAGAAGAAATTGTAGGTTCATCACTTGTCATCATAATAATTGCCAATTTGATTAACACATAGTTAAACGGTGTCATGCTAGTGAGAAAAGAGGAACTCTATGAAAATGAGGTATAGGTCCTTTTTGTTGGTCATAAATGAAGATATATATAAATGAGTTGGGCTAATTACAGTTATCCGTACGTAATTTAGTGTTAGTCGTTCATGCATTATAAAATATACAAGTAATAACGGGTAACAACAACGGATAGCAAAGATTATGAATTTAATTAAAAGTATTGGTGCAGGTGGGAAGGTGTCAGTAACATGCATGGACGATAGGAGCAGGGTTGTTTTCTACGGAAGTGATTTGACGGACGAGAAAGGCCAATTCGACCTAATCATGAACAAGTACACGATCAACGGCAAAGAAGTGAAAGCCAATCGATGCTCAGTGAGGTTGGTATCTTGCCCAGATGCCACGTGTAACGTTCCTACTAATTTCGGCGGAGGCCGATCAGGGGTGAAGCTGAACCGGCCGAGTTTTGTGTACAGAGATTTGGTAAAGTATACTCTTGGTCCATTCTATTACACCAGTCTTATGTGTGAGAAATCCGACACTACTCATCTTGATCAGTCTAATAATGGTCGTGGAAATGGGCGCAACTATTAATTAATATCACAAATACGTTTGTTTTTTTACTACTGTTTTTTTCTTTTTTTCTTATGTAACTTTTCCCCATGGTTTTGTTTCAACAATTGTAATTGGATGAAATCAAATATTTCTTAAGAGAGATGATTTTCACACATTATTTTTTACTTTATTTACATTCATGTTAATTTTTTATCACTTTTATTACGTGTTGATATACTAAATCCAAAGCCCATAAATAAACTAGAGAAAATACATTGTGAGAACTATTTTCCTTCTTAAGCACTTGGTCAACCTGATAACTAGTTGAGCCTAACCACATTGACTCAAATTCATTTTAAGTTGGATTGTGGGACTATTTCGAAATTCCTCTCCCTTTCTCTAAAACCTTTCCTCCCATATGCCTTAAGGAAAAAAGAAACCCTTTGATGATTAGCAGAGGTTGTTTCCCCTCTTGAGCATGGGTAATTGGCAGGTGGCTCTTCGGTTCCTGCTCCAACCTTTTGATCATCATAACTTCTTCCACAGTTTACTGCTTGAATATGAAATCCTTGATTAGTTATTTCTTTGTATAGCTCAGTCGATTCCAACAATTTAGATAGCTTGTCCTCCACCGAAAGCTCTTGTGGCACATTAGACTGCTCAAAATAGTGCTTAAGATGTTTTTGCAAACTTGGGTTGTAGAACTCTAAATATGGATTGTTCCAATTTCTTTTTGTGTCATTTCTCATATTGATATGCTCTTGGACAAACCATGGAAAATATTCCTTCTCAGGACACTGCAAAATATCATGGGTCTTCAAACAGCAAATTGCACAAATTGTAGGTTTAAATCCATAAAAACCCTATTTTGCAGAGTTGACCCATAAGGGCGGTCTTCCTAGTTGTATATTGGATCCAGAAGGAGGAACAAATTCCGTTGTTGCACAAATTGTAACCTAAAAAAAAAAAATCAAGTAAATAAAAAGATATATACAAAAATAATTAACTAAGAGTTGATAAACACAAATTATTTAAAACAATCCCCGACAATAGCGCCAATTTCTTGATAGAGATTTTTACCACCTGCAAAAGTAGGGATAAAAACACTTAAAAATACTTGCAAGAGAACAAGGTTATCGTAGTATAGCAGCTCAAGCAAGGTTGTTTTCCACAGGGATTGAATGAATAATTTATGTTAAAACCAAATCTTAATTAATTGGTTGAAAAAAAAAGTTTAGAAGAGGTTGATTTTATGATCTAAAATATTAAAAACGAATTTAATTAAAAACAATTAAATAAATTGAGAAAGTAAGGAAAACAAAAGAAAATAGTTTTGAAAATAAATTTGAGCACTAGGGTTCCACCGTCACCTTGACAATCCTATGTAGTTTTTTCAATTACTTATGAATTACACATGCATATTTTGACTTATGAATTACACATGCATATTTTGAAGGTTAGGTTTTCCTAAAGTATGCTCTACTTGGAACCTCTAACATAGAACGTATATCTAACATGCAACCCGTCCATGGCATCTAGATCAAATGTGAACATGCAAGACTCATTAAGTTTTGTGAAAACCTTTTGAAAAACCATACAACCCTTAAGACGTGTTGTCCATCCTAAGAAGTTACACATATTAACCACAAGAAGCCAGCACCGATTTCAGGGACAACCCTCCACCAAAATTGCATCAAATTACTTTTCTAAATATCCTAATGGTGGCCAATCATCAAGACAATTAGATAGTTTAAAGCACAATGATTAATAATTCAAAACTTGCATGCATAATATCATAAGCAAATTGAAAAGCAGCTACATATTCTTGCTAAGGCTCGTGGCCTCGCCCTAGCAAACAAAACTAATTACGAACAATTATAAAGCAAAATATTATTAAAAACATGGATAGAAAATACCTTGAAAATAAACTTGAATCGTCAAAAGCTCTCTAAAGCCAAAGTGCATGCGTTCTCTCCCTCTCTTCCCCCTTTTCCAATGGCTAAAAGCCTTATTTATACTACTACAAAATAAAATCCTTCCTAGAAAAGGTCATAGAATAAAATTCTAGGAAACATAGTAAAATAATAAAACATAAAATAAAAGGTTTCCTATTGAAACTAAAATTCAGACTTCTCAGAAAATCACACTTTTGACTGAACAAATCAACTCCGATTTGGTCCTAAAATGTCTCTTTTGAAAGCTGAAGACGTCCCCTACAAATCCTCAGAAGAAATCTTTCTCAAAATATGCCATCTTGACATCCAAAATACCCAAAACGTCCAGAAACGTCAATCTGGGAAAACTGTGCGCTGGGCCTTAATTTCATCGTTACGGTCAAACGGCTTAGTAGAAAAATCTGGAATTTTGATACAATCATCTTGAAAGGCACATGAACATACTCTAATTGGAATCACTCCAAAATTCATCTGTTTTATCACTTTTTGCTCTACAGGAAGTCGAATGTCCTACATTGAAAATACATAACAAAGTATCAAAATTATACCAAAATAACCAATAAATTAATAGTAAGATTAGGGTAAAATATATGGTATAATATTGACTCATCACCCTCCTAACTACCGCTCCTTGCTTCGGCTTGGGGTCAGCGGCAACCTGACTCCCATCTTTTTCTAGCCATCCTTCCTTTCTCTTTCTTCTCCACCCTCTGCATCTTCCCTCTTTCCCCATCTTTCCCCCATCCTTTCCCAATCCTTCCCACCTATTTCTAGCCCTCCTTCCCTCTTTCCCTTCCATCTTAACCCTCTGCAATCTTCCCTCTTCCCTCTTCTTTCCCCCATCCTTCCCCCTTTATTCCACCCAAAAAGTTGTTTAATTTCTGAACTTTTTCTCTTTTGGTCTTTGTTTTGGCTTCCCTTGAGCTTTTTTCTTTGAACTTTGTCTCAATTCCCATGAGTTGGTCTCAAATGTGGACCTTCATGGCCCTCTTTTGCTTCTGTACTACTTTACGTCGCGCATCCTCAACCATTGGCCTTTGCTACTTGGCTCGTGTGCTTCTCCTCAGTTGTTGGGTGGTTGTTTAAGTGATTTTAGCACTATTTTGTAGGATTATGGGAGTGCTCACTGCGCGGGTGACTCGCTCACCCCCATTTTCTGTTGATCCAATTGTTCCGTTGGTCTATTCTCTTGGTGGTGGTGGTGGCCTTGTGGTGGAGGCGCATCTGGTGGCTACTGGTTTACATTTCAGTCTTAGGGTTTTTTTTGTTGTTGTTCAGTTGGCTACTTTTAGGCCTACCTATTGTATTTTCTTATTTGTTGTTGGGCTCTTATGTAGGTTGTGGGTTACCCTTTTGGCTCTCTTTTCCTTGTACTTATCTTGTTATTTAATGAAAGTAATTTAGCTTGACCAAAAAAAATAAAAAGTTGGACTGCGTTTAAACCTTGGTGATCCATAGCAAATTGTAATAAGATGGGTTAGAATTGAAATGTGCTCAGTTCATCAAAGTTGCATAAGAATTTACATAAAACAAATTCAGCGTTTTAATTTAACAACTCTTTAATATATGTAAATTTTTCTTCATATAAATTGGACACTACGGTTGCACTATAGTCATTCCATGCAAGTCACCTTCAAATTGCACGAGTCCGCAAACCCCCATCAACTCTCTCATCCGTTGGCTACTGTACGTGTGAACAACGCTAGGTCTTACAAAGAACCCTACTCTAGTCTTACACCGTGTAGGTCACAGACACCAGACTTCCCGCCAAAATTAATGTTAATTAATACCAAAACCCCACGCAACATCGCCTACTCGATCATCGCTATCCAGAATGGCGGCAAACCAAAACGACGACGGAACAGTACCAGCGCCGTCTACTGCCGGACTGGCGCTCAACATTGCCGACCTGAACATCAACAGAGAAAACATGTTCCTCGACGATCCCGAGGACTCATACATCAATACCGTACGACCTCTCTCTCTAAAATCTAATTAGGGTTTTCATACAAATTACAGAGGGCTGACATTTTTAGGGTTTCTAATTGGGGTTTGAATTCGATTTAGGTGGCCGGCGACACGCTGTACGCGTCGGCGATTACGTTCGAGGAGCTGAATCTGTCGCCGGAGGTGATACGGGTATAGAGAGATGGGCTTCAAGAGGCCCAGTAAAATTCAGGCAATCACGTTGCCAATGATTTTGTCCCCTCCGTACAAAGACCTCATAGCTCAGGCGCACAATGGCACTGGGAAAACCACCTGTTTCGGGCTCGGGATGTTGGGGGCGGGTTGACCCGAACCTCCGAGCACCTCAGGCGCTCTGCATTTGCCCCACCAGAGAGTTGGCCTTGCAGGTACTCCAATTTTGGTTTTTTTTTTTTCCTTCTTTTTCTCTTATTTGGGAAAATTATATACACAAATGTATTTTACAAATTTTTGGAGCATTGCCCTTAAACTACGGTCGAATTAGAGCTTTGGTCCTTGAAAAAAATTTGTAAGTGTTGATTCCTCAACTTGTCGCAATGTGAAGCAATGGTTCTTTTAGGTAACTCCGTTTTGTGTCCGAGTTGGATAGAAGTCGGTGTTACGATGTTTACAACAAGTTATGGATCAATACTCACTAATTTTTAGTTTACAAACCAATACCTCACGAATTTCTACTTTCTCTAAACAAATAGATTTTTTTTCTTGAAAAGGGACGAGGAACATTACAATAAAGGAACAAGCTTTATGATGAATAATGTGAAAATTTTAAGTTTTGTTTATATTTATAGAAAGGGGATTTGATTGTGGCGATGGTGAATAATAATGTGGCAGAGTTTGGAGGTTATTGAGAAAATTGGGAAGTACACAGGGATAAAGGTGGAGTGTGCTGTCCCAAGTATAAGGGACAAAACCAGTTCTTGTGCAGTGCCAATTCATTCGAGGGCACCAGTATCAGCACAAATTGTGATTGGAACTCCTGGTACAATTAAGAAATTGATGTCATACAAAAAACTCGGTGTGACTTGTGTCAAGGTTCTTGTTTTTGATGAGGCTGATCAGATGCTAGCTGCGGTATGTATGATTAATCCATTCATTCATATGGTACTGCATTTCCTTAGTTTCCGCTCTGGATGCTTTGCTCTGTTAATGTTGTTCTTGATAGTGTTGTGTTGTACTGTATTGGATGTCCATAACAAAATTAATATCTGGGACACTAGATTTAAGGTTGTTTTTCTATTTTTACAGTGTGAGTTGAATACGAGCTGTTGCTGAAATGTATTTCATTTGATTGGCTTGTGATAAGATTTTCGAATTTTGATTGGTGTTGTTTTTGTGCATATTTTCTGCGGGATGGCTTCAAAGATGATTCTTTAAGGATAATGATGGGGATAGGAAAATTTAGCTCTCTCTGCTAGTCTTGTCAAATTATGGTTTACTTCTGTTGCAC